GAGTGATAACGACGCGGGTGCTGCCTCTGTCCATTACTCAAGCAATGAAAACATTCGCCGAAATCACAAACAAGCGCAAGCTTCGTGCAAAATCATTCTACAAAACTCGAAATCGATGCACGGTCGTTCATCGTCAACATGCTCTTCCTCGCTGTAGTTTGAACCTCGAGCTTCATCGACATCTAACTTGCCGTACCATGTTGCAGCTTACTCAGGATAGCCCAACTGCATCCACAGTGACCGACTTCACCGACGCTATTCCCGGATAGCTCCAAAATCCGGTACGGCCACGGATTTTTGGTGTAAATACTAACAATCTTTCCTAGGAAAAAGTACTAACACTCTTTTGCACACAGTGAATTAGTCGAAATTAACATTCCTGCTTCTGCCGTAATATTTTTTTTTTGCTGCCGGTTGTGTTTCTTGCATCGTTTTGCTCGCCTGTTGACGAATTTGCTTCAGGTTCTCCAGAACTTCCGTGAAATCAACCTCGATCCCTCTACCTCGCCCCGATCTGCAGGGTAGTTCAGATATATTCCATGCAGAGGGAAAAAGAACTCTGCCCAGTGGATATATGTAGTGTGGCCCATTGTAAGCGAATAATGCAAGGGCAGTCTTTGACGCCATTCGGCCGGTAACATAGCGCTACTCACTACCACGCTCATTACATTCCATTCATCCTTTCATCTTTCTTTGGCGTCAATTGGATCACAATTACAAATCTTTGCTGCCTCCTGCAAGTGCTGCGAGTAGCTACAACGCGGTACTGTTTCTGTACCCAATAACTCGTCCGCTCGGTTGTGTGTTTATGTTCTTTTAAATAAACTTTGTTTTGTTGCATTCCGATATGAGATACACATTCTCACAGCGTACGCCCGCAGTGGACGAACCTTACAAAGCAAGCCTTCAAAGATCAAATGCGCTTTCGAGATCTGTTCAGAACCGACAGTGGGAAGTTATCCGACTTGCAACTGGAGCGAATCATAATACACACTGATAAGATGACAGAGTGTAACATAAGCAAAAAAAAAGGTTGCATGTAGAAAATAAAAAGACGAGGGCAAGAACCGAACCAGCATTGCAGTGCAGCGATAAAACTGATAGTCTGTAGAAAAGCAGAATACTGTGATAGAGGATTAAAACAGGTGCGTCACCAGCATCGAAATTTGTTCCCTCCAAATTTAACTGAAACCGATCCAGCAGTTCAGAAGTATCAGTGAGGACAAATAAGCACCGGTGGACAAATATGAACCATCAGTACTGCAGTTCTCCCACGCAAAAAAAAAAAAAAAAAATGCATGACAATGCATCACTTGTGCTAACAATTCCTCCGTCAGAAATCCGAAGACCTTTACGTAAGCACACCTCATTAATTTTAATATTTCGAATTTTCAGTCCTTTTGTCTACAACGAAAAAAAAGGTTAGCCAATCAAAATACAGTTGTCTGGAACCGTGTAATATGAAAGGGCCCCAGCTAATACCGTCGACGAATGGATACTGGTACAAAAGCCATCCCTCCCACTAGCTGTGCATTCTTCTTTTTACATCACCTCTGTTTCTGCTATTATGCATCAAATAAAACTGTAAAAATTCTCAAGTCCCAACCGAAATGCGCATGATTTTTAAATCAGACTTTGCAGTTATTTCACAATTTATTGTGAGTTGTGCAAATTGGTATAAGAGAAAGCGTTAAGGCATTACAATCAATTCTCAGTAAGCAGAATCGAAGCTGGCTCTACGCTTTTTAGCAAAAGTAAAATATCCGCTCACAAAAATGAAAAACAGAAGATATGCAAAAAAGTGAGGCCGCCGAACAAGCACTGAAAAGAACAAAGCGCCCGCAAATAATTTCCATGCAAGCTTGGCTTGTTTGAAGATATTCTCATGCACTATCTCCGTAAGGAATAAGCAACTAGTTCATTCCCCAAACACCGTGTTCTCAGACCTGAAGGCCCAAAGGATGTGAAGGAGGAGCGTTTATATACTCCTTCGCCGCCCTCCTCCCTCAAATCCTCCCTCCCCAGCCCTTTTTTTCCCACCATCGCCCTTTCCAGACCTTTGCAATATGGTGAACGCATTTATTATTATTCTGTATGGTTCAGCCTAAAATTCTAAAAAAAAGGAAAGAAAAACCGCCCGCAAAACTAGTCAGTCGCGGAACTTACCAAATCCTTTGCCACTGAACTTGCTAAATGCACTTTGTTGTTTGACGGCGGTGTGGGCCTGACGCGAAAATAATGCGGTAGAAACACCTCTGTTTTCCCAGCTGAAAGCAAAATAAGTAATTACTGAAAATAATTTTAAAAGATCACTGTGCTTATTTTTTAAAACAACCCTTTTATATACATTTTTATCAAGTAATCATATTTGAAATCGCTCCAGTACATCTAACACTGCTCCTCGAAGCTAAATGAAGGTACAAGGCAGAAGCGCGAACGCTGGGATCATCAAGTGAAGGAGCTTTAGGTACAGCGGCTGTGGGAAGTTCCCGTCTGTGCTGATGATACTACCACTGAAATGACAAGCGCGGTAATTCGAAAAATACGCATGATAGTGGCAATATTTTTCCCCGTGAATATCGGGCATCAGGGAGCGGAAAATGGAACAGAGACTAGTTGGACGCTAAAAATGACTGAAGTATATAGTAAGAAAGGCGCTATACACTGAAGAGAAGCAATTCGGAATGGCACCCGCACAGATGAATCAGTGTGCAAAATTGTCTACAGAGATCCACGGCAAGAACTCCTCGTACAACACTGTTCATTAGTAATGCGCTGTATAACACTAGCCATACAAATGTTGGTAATTAGCCAAACAACCCATCAGATGCCCCCCGTTCTTCCATGTAATTTCCGTCAAAGAAGGGCGTCATGGACTAAACAGACTTCCCAAAATGACTTGGATATGCACCTTTATCCTTACCGTCCACTGCATCGTTCGAAGCATCGTCATTGGATAGATCGTCTGTACGTTTCGAATTCTGAAAATATTACACAAATCATACAATTTAGTTCGAAGATAATCAAACACGTGCTAACATTTACTGTGGGAAAAACTAGTGGATGGCCGCTGCCGCCCATCTTGCACATTACTCATGTATAAAAATTATCACAATCAAGGCAATTCCGATAGTCTTTTTTCGAGTAGCTACTAAAATTCGGTTGGTTCGAAAGACGAGTTCCACTGACTGGGAGAGAGAGAGGGAGGAAGAGGAGGGGAAGGATGGTACAGAGACGGGGACAGAGGGGAGAGGGGGGTTTGTTTAGGTCTCGGGGTCGCGACGGGGGAGGAGGTAAGGGTTACTGACTGGAAAAATATCAGTTGGAAAAAACAGAAACAGGGACAGATTTATGGGGCAGAGGGGTTCTCCTGTGGGCTTGTTTTGCTCAGTACGAGGTTAACCGGTGTGGGGAAGTTAACTGACTAATATACACTCATTTTTCGACAGCAGTTCGAATAACGAAAATCGTAGTAAGGAGTTTTTTGTTCAGATAATGTTCTAGATATCGCTCTCAAGGCTGCTAACCTTCCCTCAGCACCAAA